TGGATGAACCTCTTGAGCATCTTCTTCTGGATGACACTCATACACCCCTTGGTGAAATCACCCCAAGGAAAGTTCTTGATGTTGTCATAGATGCTGTAATCTTTCCAGAATTGCATCAGTGTCTTCCTCAGTTGCAGCAATAGCCAGAGCTAGTAGTATGCTTTAAAAGCTGCTACAACTCCTTAATCCACTAGTTCAATTAAAGAGGTAGTATTTGGAGGGATAAACACCACTTTGATCATTGGTATGAAGATCACCAACAAAAAAAGGATGTCCAGGACCATTGTCAACAACAAACAAAATCTTGCAAACTCTTATTCTCCTAACAGTACTTCTCCATTTCACTGGCATAGCAATACAGGAGGACATCTTGGAAGATGAGCTGAGTCATCATGACTTCTTATTGCTCCTGTAGTAACACACTGGCAGTGTGTGCTTATTGATGTGCTTGGAGGCTCTGGAGTTCTCACTGTGCCAGGTCACAAGGGGCTTCAGTTTGTAGCCTGTGACATTGCCTCCAAGCAAGATTATTAACCCATCCTTAAAAGCCTTAAAACCTGGTATTGACTTGGCCTTCTTATAAAGGAAAGTCCTTTCTGGCATTCATTTACAGAATATGGACATTTCATTCATATTGAATGTTTTCTCTGGCAAGTAATTTTCCTCCACAATCAGCTTCTAGAGTTTCCAAAAATTCTTTAGCTGCCTTCATATCAGTACCCTCTGACTACCAATCATTTTCACATTATGTAATGAACAATTCCTGAATTGTTTAAACTACCCAGAGCTAGCAGTAAATTCAACATCATAGTTGGTCCAGCCTTATCTTTCAACATTGTAACTTTTACCTTTGGCTGTGGTCATCACGGTGTGGACAGGGACAGGCTTCTGTCTGGTCTTCAAGCCAGGTAATTAGAAGTTTCTCCATGTCTGATATGGGCTCTTGAACTTCTGTTTGTCTCGTTTCCTTCAGTGAAGCAGTCCTGTAACAGCTTCTGTTACTTTTTTCTTGTTGGTAAAGATTGTGACTGTGGTGGAATGGGACATGCCTGACTGGCGAACAATACCCATCATTGACTTTCAATGTTCCTAGTTGTTATCACTTCTGATTTTGTTTTCAGGTCAATCACTGAACATGGCCTCTTATGGGCAACATTAGCAGTGGATTGTGTGTGCTTAGTGGCCATGATGAACAAAACAACTCAAGATTAAATCAAGCATGAGGAAAAAATGATGTGATCAAGAGACTTGGTAAACATGAGATGTATAAGGCTATTGCCAGTTTAACATGGCATATTGTTTTATAGCAAACTTTTATAAGTAGAAAGAGTATACTCTAAAATAATGATAAAAAGTATAATATAGTAAGTATATAAACCAGTAACAGTCATCTCTTATCATTATCAAATGCTATGTACTGTACATAATTGCATGTGCTGTACTTTTATATGACTGGCAGCACAGTGGGTCTGTTTACACCTGCATCACCATGAACATGTGAATAATGCGTGGCACTATGATGTTACAACAGTTCTGACATCACTAGATGACAGGAATTTTGCAGCTCAATTATAATCTTATGAGACCACTGTTGTATATGTGGTTTATTGTTGGCCAAAATGTTATGTGGTACACATAACCTTCTTACTAGAATGTTAAGAAGGGCTTCCTGGAGGAGGAGGCATTTTCTCCAAGACCTGAAGTGTGAGTAGATAGGGGGTTAGTAAGGAGTGTTCCAGCCAAAAGGGAACAACATGTTCAAAGGTGCAGAGGATCATGAGCAGTTACCATCATTGGAGTGTGAAGGTGAAAAGCTAGGGACAATGAGGGCATTGAGGGAAAAGTGTCAAGAAGGCTGTGGTCACTCATGCCCTGATGGACCTAATTCATTCTGGGCCACAAGCACTGACTGATCAGGTGGTTTGCAGGGTAGGGGCCTCATAGGAGGAAGTGCTGATCCTAGACACAGCTGCCACATATTTTTTCCTCCCCAAGTCCCAACTTAGGAGAAAAGGCCTTACAAGAGAAGCCTGGCCAGTGGTCTAGGCCATTGTAGATCTCAGCTCCAGGCACAGAGTCAAGGCACCATCAAGGAAGGGACCATCAAGGCGAAGAGTTGGGGAAGGGTCCACAGCCTGGACTTTGGTAGGTCATGGTTGAAAGAAGTCAGCAGTCACAGGCAGTGACCCAGCCCAATCCAGATGAGCACCCTGGACCATCACAGCTAACCAGACAGGTGCTGAGGCCCTGGGATAGGAACTGACCAGCCTCACTCAGGGCTGTAACCTGCCACAGACCCTAAAGTCTCAGGTCTCTGTCACCTGAGATCTACAAGGGCCCTAAAGACTTGTGGCCTTGTAGGTCTCAGGTGACAGATAGCTGGGCTTACTTGTCTAATGGACATTTCCTCAATCCAAGCTGCTATAACCAAGTCCACAGTCTGGGCAGCTTAAACAAAGAACATTTATTTCTCACTGTGGAGCCTCCAAGTGTGAGATAAAGGAGCATGCAGGTTTGGCAGCTCTGGCAGCTCTGGCATCTGTCACTTTCACCCGAGTGTCTCCATTGTCCTCACCCTGGCATCTCTGTCACCCTTACCCTGGCATCTGTCACCTTTACCTAGAAGTCTGTCACCTCCACACAGGCATTTCATCTCCATCACATTTTCCCAAATGTGTCTGTTACCTTTTCCCAGTTGTCTCTCAGGGTGTAGGACAAGCATGGAGAGCACCCCAGGGCTTCTGTCCACAAGATGTTTAGCTAGGAATCAGGATCTTGCCTGGTCATGGTGGCTGGAGGAGCTGCAGACTAGACAGGACATGCCAAGCTGAGCCACAGGAGTCTACTGACCTTGAGAACCTCTGCTGCACTCCCACCTAAAAGCTCAGAGCCCAGAGGAGGCACAGGGACTAGTATCCTATCTGGCTGCCAACCAGGAGGCAGCCTCCAGCCTTACCTCTGTAGCATGGGAGATGGTTCATATGGGGATTGGATGGCTACAAGGGATGTAGAGCACCATGCATTCTCCTAGCCCTGGACAGGCCCCAGGGAAAGCCTGGAGGGGAGTGGTCAGGTTCACATCCCTCACCCGGGACCCTGTGAAAGATCCAGAAGGTTTCCATGTGTGGCACAGACAGCTGGCAAGGCTTTGCTCAGCTGGCCCAGCTCAATGCAATAATTGCTCTCGCTGCACCAGAAGCCTGCATGAGTAACAACTTCCAGCCAAGTGGTCAATTAATGGAGCAATTCCCAAGCTGTGCTCAAGGAGCACACCCAGATTAGGTGCTCATTGCACAGATGCCCAGTTGCCTGTAGCCCAGGGGTGGTGGACTGGTCAGCCACTGTCCTCACCACCCGGCAGGCAGGAAGGCTCCTACATAGAGCTCTCCCTTACAGGCACCCTCATTTCTCTGAGGGGCACACAAATGAGTGCTATCACCTGAGCTGGCCACATGGGGCCATACACCATATCCTGGAGCTGATTCCTCTGCTCCCATTTTGTTTCCCACTGCCTGTGCCCAGGCCCAATTGCATTATTCCTAGAGTAGGCCTGCCTAGCACCTCCAGAAACCTCCAAAGAAAAATGCAAACTCTTGATTTCAGATTGATAAATAACCTTGTTTCCCTCAAAAGAGGCTGTAAGGTGGGGAGCTGACAGAGGGAGACAATCAAAAGAGGGATCCATTGGGCGCCAGGCTGAGGCACAGCAGCATGTTCTTCATACATATGCACATGTGTATGGGAGAGCTATGTATGTGTATACATGTTTGCATGTGCAAATGTGCATATGGTTGCCTGTGCATGTACCCGTGAATGTGTGAGGAGGGTGGGTGGAACTCTACTTTTGGCTGCTGTGTGATCCTGGGCTCTGAGCCTCAGATTCCTCACCTGTAAGAAGGGTGGTGACAGGGCACAGAAAAGGGAAAAGTGCTGCTCAATTAGGTCTTCAGGAGAGCAGGTATCATAGCACCCCCAGGGACCTGACACTGAAAATCAAGGGCAACCCCAGACCCTCTAGAACTTGCATCCTCACCCTCTTCTGTCCATGAGCAACATTTCCACAGCACGAGTCCAACAGGAGACACAGGTTCGTGAACAGCCTGGTCAAGTAGGGGTCCAGCACTAAGGTCAGAGGCAGGTGCTGACACACTGGTCCAAAGGGGGCATGCTTTGAGGAGAAAGTGGAAAGGCTGTGGCCAAACCCCAGGCAGGGATTGAGGAGCCAGAGCTCAGGACAAGGAAAACACAATGATGCTTTTCACTCCAAATTTCTAGAATGTTCCTTGGGCTGTTTTCAGTCTGGATTCCCTTTCTCCTGGGATCCCAGGAAACTTTATGATCAGTTCCAGGCTCTGAACTACAAAAGAACCTGTCATCAACTCCTGTGAGGGTGAAGGAAAAAAGAAGCTGTCACAGGGATGATGTGTGGTCAGGCAGGGGCCCCAGGAAGGGACAAGGGCCTGAGGGAGGATCTCCTGGGAACAGGTTGTGGAACAGAAGAATGTGGTTGGGCTCACACTCCCTCAAGTGCAGGGTTCCCCTTTGTTGGCTGCATGACCTTCCACCTTGGCCTATTTCCTCATGAGGAAAGCAGGGACAGCAGCTCCTACCTGCTGGAGTGGCCAGAGGAATCAGGTAAATATACATGGGCACTGGGGCAGCACAGGGGCCCCACAAGGTCCAGGAGGCAGAGATGAGGGGCAGGGGTGGATGTGGGGAGGTGTGAGCTCTGGAGAGCTGTGGGAGAAGGCCACGGAGGGAGGGAAGGGGGACATACAGCATGGGCAGTAGGTTGGGAGTATTTTTGGGAACAGTGGGGTGGGAGGATATCTGGGTGCAGGGGCTAGAGCAGGTAGAAAGGTGGGGCCCAGTCCCACAGTGACTGGGAGTGTAGCCTGAGCATGACCTGGTGCCAGGATATTAAGGAACTCTGAGAGCCCTCAGGGTCAGCCTCTGCTAGAGGCATATGCAGTCTCAAATTAGAATTATCCAGAAAACACTCCTGATGGAAAGGAGAAGACTCCCACTTTTAATATCACTGACCACCATTGTAAGGAGTAGGTGAAGTGCTTCTTACAGTAATTGTAAAGTGAGAACAATAATTGTAAAGTGAAATATAAGCATTTAGAAAAGCAGTAGGACCCTGGGTGGGCGGAACGTTGGGGCTCTTTGGTGTGAGATGGGCAGCAGGGGGCCTGGTCCATCAAAGGTCCCCCAGGTTTTCTGTCAGGAAGGCCAGCAGAAAGCGGCTGACGTGCCTGTCCACAATGATGGGGGAGAAGCCCAGGACACGCCGGGCCCTTGGCAGCACCTTGGAGTCTGGAACACAATGGTGATGGGGGGGGTGTCTCAGAATCCAGCAGAGATGCCTTCTCTCAGCCTCACAATATTGCCAGCCCCAAACCCAAGTGGCATGGGGTCAGCACCCCCAGGGGGGCCTGTGAGGCATTGACCCCACATAACCTCAGGAATTTCAGCATGGTCAGAAAGGGACAGCAGGGATGCCATGCTGGGCCTGGAGGGGGCCTCAGCCATGGGCTCCAGTCCACCCATCAGGGCCATGACACTGGTGCAGACCTGAGACTGTGGGGTTGCTCTGCTCCAGGCAAGGCTCTCTAACCCAAGCCCTGCTGCACTCCTCCTCCCACAAGGGGCCACCATTCTCTGACCCCTGGGGGTGGTGGGTTACTGAGGGTCATGTGAAGAAAATGAGACCCACCACCACTGGGTTTGGTGGGCGGGCTCAAGCCCCACACTTTCTATTTCTCCTGAGCCCAGTCCCTGTCCCACTCCTGGTTGAGCAAATTGAGGCATGATGAAGCCAGGGACTCGTGCCTTCCTGCAGAGCTGAGTGGGCAGTGTGCCCAATGTGCACGGGAACCACCTCTGACCTGTGGTCTCATGTGGATTGGGCTGAGACTGAGCGACACCCACCTGAAGGGCAGCAGTAGATGAGGAGTGCCAGCCCCGCAGCCAGGCCGAGACAGGCCAGAAAGGCCATGGGTCCTGGGGGAGAAATAAGTATCAGCGGCTACTTGCACCTGAGGGTGGGGAGAGGTCCTCAGGCCACAAGGAACAGGCTAGATCCCCACATTGGAGTCAGCTGGGTGAGGATACCCCCAATGAACACTCTGGGTGGGGGGAAAGGTGTCCATGGGAAGCCAGGAACAGAGCCCAACTTAGAGTGGAGAAGACCCCAGGTGGAGATGGGGCCCTGGGTAAGGGGATAGGGGGAAGCAGGAGGCGGTTACCCCTGTCACTGAGCTCATGGCTTGCGGTGCCCGAGTCTAGCTCTGTGCAATCTGAGATCTCTGGAAACAAAATCACAGGGTTCAGTTAGTCATGGGTGGGCCAGAGAGGAAAGTGGTCGCCTGCCCTCAGGAAACCAAAGGGGCTGACGAGGTCCCTCACTCCTGGTACCACCCAGCCCCTGGCTGAGCTGGACCAGGCTGTGCTGTCACTGAGCCCTCTGGCCCTGTTTGGTGGAGTAAGCACCACCCCTGCACAGTTTGGGGTCATCCCCTTTAGTCCACTCCCTGGGACCTTGAGGGCCATGGAATAGGGGGAAGGCATTGTTACCTGGTGGCCATGAGGCACCAAATGCAGTGCAAAAACCTGCCTGTCAAAGTTCTGATACTGTCCATGTGTCAGCTTTATCTTCCCAGGCCTCCCCAACAAGCCACATGCCAGATAGCCCTTGAGGGCAGCCGTGAGCTGGGAAGGTGCTTGACTCCCAGCAGGGATGTGGGGCCCTAAGGGCTAGTGTAACAGGACCATCTGGTGCCAGAGCTCAGAGATAGTCCTGCAGGTCTGTCTTTGGGGTCACAGACACCAGCCACAGGTCATGGCTAAGTGGCCTGGGTGAGCCATCCCATCCCTTGGGGCCTCTGGCCTCTTCTAAGAATTGCGAGAGAGCAGCCACGCCTCCTGGGGATCAGGGCGCAGAAGCCTAAGACTGAACTGCCTGCACCTCCCCATCCTATTCCCAGCACATCATAGGGACCCTTGCATACCTCCCAGGCCCAAAGATGGGACCCTATAAACTGAAACACACACACCCTAAGCTGGCCATCTAGTCCTGAGACTGTCCTGTAGAAAAACCCACACCAGGGATCTACCTGGATGAAGGGTGGACACAACCTCAGTATCCAGCATGGGGGCCAGTTCACTCAGGCTGGTGCAACTGTGAGCCACTGTGATCATAAGGGGAAGAGTTTCCATAGTGCACTAGGTTACAGATGGAAGAGGCAGATTCTACCTTTTGTGTAAAAGCTGGCACAAAAGAGACACAGACACACACACAAACAGGGAGACAAGAGATATCTGTGTTGCCAGGAATACTCTCTCTACTCTCTAGGGACTATACAAGATGAGATGTGGCCAGAGGAGATTGATGCTAAACCCTGAGGACTGGGACGTGCACTTACGCAAGGTGCGTCGGCTGGGCAGGCAGCGGTGCAGGGGCTGGGCGTGGATGTATAGAGCTCGGTAGAACTCCTGGCAATCCCTCTCGTTGCTCCGTTGTAGATGGCCCAAGAGGTCACACAGCCGCACACGCAGGGATGCCTTGGGGTTCCGGAACTGGGGGCATAAGGGAAACAAAGGAAGGTCAGGGTACAGAGGACTGGGCCAAAGGCAGCTGTGGGATGGGCATAGGTGGGCTCCAGGGTCAGCTCCTCCATTCCTTCTGGCTCTGGCTTCCTCACTGGGGGAGGAGGAGCGTGATTCCATACAGGCCCTCCAAACACCCCTGGGGAAACAGTGGCTGTGAACCATGGCCTCATGGTGCCCAAGAATGTTCTGGGTTCACAGCATGGCTGCTAATCCTTGCATTCCACATGAAGGTGAAAACAAGTCACCAAGAAAGGCAGCAGTGACATCATTGCAAGTGCGGAAATTTGGTAGCTTGCTGTGTGACTTCAGTAAGTCTCTTCACCCTCAAAGACTCAGTTTGTTCATTTGTAAAAAGGGAATAATAAGCCCATACTGTAGTGCTGCTGCAGGGAATCAAAGTGATAGTGTGGTAACTTCTAGTAGTTTACAGTCTACAGGAATGTGATTCAAGTGTTTAAAAAATAAAACAAGGGACTTCTGGTCAAGATGGAGGAGTAGGTAGATACACTGTGCCTCCTCACACAACCAAGATAGGGACAACAATAATTTAGAAACAGAGTAACAACCAGAACTGAGAGAAAATTGAACTGTATGGAAGTCGGACAACCAAGGAGTTAAAATACACATGTGCATCCAGACCGGTAGGAGGGGCGGAGTCAGGCAGTTGGGCAGAGAGGGGTGGCAGAACAAAAAACGTTGGGACTGGCATAAGGCATCCCAGGCACCGAAGACCGCAGTGGGAAGACCCTGGGCACGAAAGCAGTGGCTGGCAGACCCCGGCTGAGGGGTGGCAACTGGCAGACCCAGAGAGGCAGCAATTGTGAAGCAAGGCACTGTGGAAAAGGCGGCTGGCTGACCGGGTGGTCCCAGGGTCCCAGCACCAGGAAACAGAGCCTCAGGGCACTGACTGAAAACACCTGTGGGGGTTGAGGCGAAGAGAGAGACTCTCAGTCTCACAGGAGAGGTCGCTGGAAAAACCCACAGGATGCGCAAGCCCACCCACACAGGAATTAGCACCAGAAAGGCCCAATTTGCTTGGGGGAAGTGGCAGAAGGGACTGAAATCCTTCGGAGATCAGAGCAAGCGCCATTGTTCCCTCTCGGACCCCGCCCCCACATACAGTGTCACAACCCAGCCACAGGGTTGCCCCGCCCTAGTGAACACCTAAGGCTCCACCCCTCATACATAACAGGTGCAGCGAGACAAAAAAAAAAAAAAAAGAGAGAGAGAGCTCAAACAGAAGAACAAATGAAAGCCCCAGAACCAATACTTTTAAGCAACCAAGAGATAGCCAACTTATCAGATATACAGTTCAAAACACTGGTGATCAGGATGCTCACAGAATTGGTTGACTTTGTTTGCAAATTAGATGAAAAAATGAATGCTACAATAAGTGAAATGAAGAAAAATTCACAGGGAACCGTAAGTGATGGAAAGAAAGCTGGGTCTCACATCAATGGAGTGCACCAGAAGGAAGAAAACAACATACAGTCAGAAAAGAATGAAGAAATAAGAATTCAAAAAAAATGAGGAGAGGCTTAGGGACCTCTAGGACATCTTTAAATGTTCCAACATCTGAATTATAGGGGTACCAGAAGGGGAAGAGGAAGAGCAACAAGTGGAAAAGTTATTTGAACAAATAATAAAGGAGAACTTCCCCATTCTGGCAAAGGAAATAGACTTCCAGGAAGTCCAGGAAGCTCAGAGAGTCCCAAAAAGGTGGACCCAAGGAGGAACACACCAAGGCACATCATAATTACATTAGCCAAGATTAAAATGAAGGAGAGAATCCTAGAAGCAGTAAGAGATAAGGAGACAGTAACCTACAAAGGAGATCCCATCAGACTGTCAGCTGATTTCTCAAAAGAGACCTTGCAGGCAAGAAGGGGCTGGAAAAAAGTATTCCAAGTCATGAAAGGCAAGGACCTACATCCAAGATTGCTCTATCCAGCAAAGCCTTCATTAGAATGGAAGGGCAGATAAAGTGCTTCTCAGATAAGGTCAAGTTAAAGGAGTTCATCATCACCAAGCCCTTATTTTATGAAATGTTAAAGGGATTTATCTAAGAAAAAGAAGATAAAAAACATGTACAGTAAAATGACAGCGAACTCACAATTATTAATAACCACACCTAAAACAAAAAGAAAAGCAAACTAAGCAAACTAGAACAGGAACAGAAGCACAGAAGTGGAGGTGACATGGAGGGTTAGCAACAGGGGAGTGGGAGGAGGAGAGAGGGGGAAAAGGTATGGAGAATAAGTAGCATAGATGGTAGGTAGAACATAGCCAGGGGGAGGGCAAGAGTAGTATGGGAAATGTAGAAACTCAAGAACTTATGACACATGGACATGAACTAAAGGGGGGAAATGTGGGTGGGAGAGGGTGTGCAGGGTGGAGGGGAATGAAGGGGGGGTAATGGGACAACTGTAATAGCATAATCAATAAAATATATTTAAAAATAAAAAAATAAATCAACAGTTAAGGAGAAAAGAATTGGCTCTTTCATTATGTCTGATGGAGAAATAGATGGTCCTAAAGGCCAGTGGACAGGGCACTTGGCATTCACCCCCAGGCCCTGGAGCATGTGACCTGGTGCTGCCACCTAGTGGCAGCATACCATTCTACATGGAACCAGAATTCAGTACCCAGGAGGAACGGAACTGTGCTGGTGTAAAAGCAGCTGCTGAGGAGTTTCCTTTTTCTTGTCCAAAGGTCGAAAATGTTTCAAATTTCTTTTACAGTGAATATGTTTTAGACTTTCAATTACAACAGTAAGAGACAAATTTGAGCTCCTACTTTGTTAACTTCCTGTATTACTTTTATAAGCAGTACCAGGTCCACGTGCATTCGTTTTCTGTCAGGGATCAACCTTACCTGTCCCCGAGAGAGGCACCAACCCTCCAGACAGCCCTACATCTAGTGACATTTACCTGTGCCATGGCAGGAAGCTGCAGCTCCAAAAGGGTCCTGCCAGTCACCCATCTAGGAGGCAAGCCCTGAACCCCAAAGCCCTGGCTGGCCTCTGGAACCCATCCTCAGCCCCACACAAGGGTCAGAAAAGCAGAGTAGCAAGCCAGTGTCACCTGCTCTTACTCAGTGTTCACAAACAGGACGGGCCAGATTACATCTAAGACATGTGCCTACCCTGGCTGGTGTGGCTCAGTGGATTGAGCGCCAACCTGTGAACTAAAAGGTCGCAGGTTCAATTCCCAGTCAGGGCACATGCCTGGGTTGCGAGCCAGGTCCCCAGTGGGGGAGCGTGTGAGAGGCAACTGATCAATGTATCTCTGGCACATCGATGCTTCTCTCTTCTTTCTCCTCCTCTCCCCTGTCTCTAAAAATAAATAAAATCTTTAAAAAATAAAAAAATAAAATTTTTGCCCATTTTCAACTTTTGGAAGAGGCAAAGTGAAGAACTGTCTGGGACTGGCCAGTGCCCCTACTCCCATCCCCTTGCCCCCCTCCCAGGTTTGTCACATTGTGGGTTGTTGTCACATGCCTCCTGTGACACTCTGATCATTTCTGAAAGAGGCCAGCATGCACAATGAGATATAAAAAGACTGAGACCAAGAAAGTTGATGTTCTGGGCCCAAGGTCACTACAAAGAGACAGGTTTTCACCTCTGAGCTCTCCTACCTCCCACTTTATTCCAGCACAGAAAGAAAGGAAGAATAGAGACATGTCAGGCCCGCCCCTCAGCACCTTTTCTGCATCCTTGTTGCTGAGGATCTGGGGGTAATAGCGGTTCAGCTGGAGGATGATCTTGTCCACCTGCTGCTCATTCAGGCGCCCGTGGCCCATCAGGAAAGGTGTGTCCTGGACCAGCCGGTCACAGTAGGTCTGCTCTGAAACAGGCAGAAAACATGGCGGGGGGCGGGGGGAGAGCATGAGCCAGCAAGGCCAGAGGAGGGCGGCAGGTCTACCACAAAGACGCAGCCTTGGCAAGAACTTCTCACAGCAACAGCCCCATGCCCATGGGCAGCACACCAACTGTAAGCACCTGGACAACTACTGACATCCCAGCCTGCATGGGCCTCACACACAGCCCAGAACCCTCCATGTCTTCAGAAAATAGGGTAGGGGGGTGTGGTAAGAACTGTCCAGAGTGCTCAAAAACAGTACAGAGCCACTGCTCCCTTTCTTTTATGAACATAAACTCTGAGGGGCTAAGAGGTTGCTGTTCACAGGCCCCTACAGGGTCCTCTGGAAATATCCAGGCCTAGGGAAGGGAATGGGCAGCCTGACCTACAGCTTCCACAGGCACCACGGGGTGCCTATCATGGGGACAGAAGGCTCAGGGTAGGCTGAGATGGCATGGCTGCAGGACCATGTGAGCAGCAGGTGGACAGGATCACCCTTCACTCTGTCAGCACAGCCCTAAGAAGTACCAACAGCAGACCACTGAGTGCCTGCCCAGGGTATGGGGAAAGGGTTTTCCTGTCTGGTCTTTAAGAATCACCATTAAAATGTCATCATTGCACCTTCTTTCCCATTAAAAACATTCTTTAGAATGACTAGCCTTTAAAGGCGATGGATGGGATAGAGGTCGGCTGGTGGGGGACACAGGGTATCCAAGGGAGGATCCCAAGTCCCTTTGGCACCAGCTGCCTGAATCGGTGCACCACCTTATTTACCTACCTGTGGCAGCTTGTCCTGCTTTCCGGTGGACACGGGGGTTAGGGGGTGGGCAGAGCTCTATAGGAGAAAAGTTTTTGTATGTGATTGGAGTTAAATTGGTATCAACTCAAATTAGATTGTTATAACTTTAGGAGGTTATGTATAATCTTATGGTAACCACAAAGAAAATATCCACACAATATACTCAAAATGTGTTATTATAAAAACTCAACTAAACACAAAAGAAGGCAGTAAGGGAAGAAATGAAGGGGAAAAAACCTACAAGATATATGGAAAATAAATAGCAAACGGTAGAAATGTTTTTCCTATCAATAAATTAAATGAATTAAATTCTCCAATCAAAAGGCAGAAGTTGGCAGAATGAATCTGTGATGTGATTTATAAGAAATATATATTTGGTCTTCAGCCCACTTCCTGGCACACCAGCTCCTAATCCCTGGAATTTCTTAACTGATGAACAATTAAGTCTTTTGCTATTCATAACAAGCCCCTTTCAACATCACCTGAGTTTGTGTATTGAGATGACTTTTGGAAAGCTCCTAAAAAAGCAGAGGGTGGGAGCTAGTTGCCAGGAGAACCAACCAAGTGACTACAGGGCTGCAACTTTCAGTCCCACTCCAACCATCCGGGGAGAGGAGAGCAGAGGAGCTGGAGGTTGAATCATTCACTATTGGCCAATAATTTCATTAATCATGCCTATGTAATAAGCCTCTATAAAAACCAAAAGGATAAGGTTTGCAGAGCTTCTGAAGTGCTGGGAGAGTGGCCCATGCAGCAGGGGCATGGAAGCTCTATACCCCTCCCACATGTGTTGCCCTATGTATCTATTCCATCTGACTGTTCATTAGTACCCTTTGAAATATCCTCTGTAATAAGTTGGCAGTCATAAGTAAAATGTTTCCCAAGTTCTGTGAGCCACTCAAGCAAATGATCAAACCCAATGAGGGGATTGTGGGAAATCTAATTTATAACCTGGAAAGGCAAAAACCTGGACTTATGATTGGCATCTGACCTGAGAAAAGTCTTCTGGGACTGAGGCCTTAACCTGTGGGATCTGATACTATCTCCAGGTAGACAGTGTGGGAATTGAGTTAAATTGTAACTCAATTCGTGTCCAGTTCGTGTCCACCAGAGAACTGGACGATTGTTTGGGGATTAGGAATAAATCCCACACATTTGGTAACCATAAGTGTCAAAAGTATTAAGAAGTGGAGTGTTTTGGGTAGAGGTAGAGAAGAAATTGGTTTTCCCACAGGATTAAAAAAATATATCGTATGACTCAATATATGCTATTTTCAAAAGACTCACTTTAGATCTAAAGACACAAATTGGGTGAAAATGAAATGATGGGAAAAGACATTCTGTGCAAATAGTAACCAAGAGAAATTAGGTGGCCATACTAGTATGAGGGAAAAAAAGACTTTAAGTCAAAAATTACTATATGAGACAAAGAAGCACATTTTATATGGTTCTGGCCAAGATGGAGGTGTAGGTATAAACCCTTCACTTCCTTGCACAACCAAAAGGAGGATAACAACCAATCTAAAAACAATAAACAACCAAAAGTGCCAGAATATCAAACTGCACAGAACTCTGACAACCAAGGAATTAAAGAAACAGTCAACCAGACCAACCAGACTGGTAGGAGGGAGAAAGGGCAGATGGGCTGGTAGAGAAAACCCACAGCAAGGCAGTGGACCATGTGAGCAGGACTGGCTGAACACGAAACTGAGACTCAAAGCTGACAGTGGACTACAGCAAGGGTTACCACAGTAGGAGAAACTCCCAGTCTCACAAGAGAGTTCATTGGAAAGTTGGGCTAGAGCCAAGCAAGCGAATTGCATTCTTCCCTCTCTGACCACTCCCACACAGACAGCACCACAACACAGCAAAGAGGGTTTCCCTGCCCTGATGAATACCTAAGGCCCCACCCCCTTACAACTTAACAGGTGCACTGAGACAAAGAAATATGGCCCAAATGAAAGAACAGAGCAAAACCCCAGAAAAAGAGCTAAGCTATGAGGAGATAGCCAACCTATCTGGTGAAGAGTTCAAAACACTTGTAATCAAAATGCTCACAGAACTGACTGAGCCTGGTCAAAAAAATGAAAAAACAAATGAAGGATACCCAAAGTGAAATAAAGCAGAACATTCAGGGAACCAAGTGACAGGAAGGAAACCAGGACTCAAAGCAATGATTTGGAACAAAAAGAAGAAATAAACATCCAACTGGAACAGAATGAAGAAACAAGAATTCAAAAAAATGAAGAGAGGCTTAGGAAACTCTGGGACAACTTTAAACATTCCAATATCCGAACTATAAGGGTGCCAGAAGGAGAAGAAAAAGAGCAAGAAATTGAAAACTTATTTGAACAAATAATGAAAGAAAACTTTCCCAATCTGGCCAAGGAAATAGACTTCCAGGAAGTCCAGAAACCCAGAGAGTCCCAAAGGAGTCGGACCCAAGGAGGAGCACACCAAGGCACATCATCATTACATTACCCAAGATTAAAGATAAAGAGAGAATCTTAAAAGCTGCAAGAGGAAAGGAGACAGTTACCTACAAAGGAGTTCCCATAAGACTATCAGCTGATTTCTCAAAAAAAACCTTACAGGCAAGAAGGGGTTGGAAAGAAGTATTCCAATTCATGAAAGGCAAGGACCTACATCCAAGATTACTCTATCCAGCAAAGCTATTATTTAGAATAAATGGCAGGCAAGGGCAGACAAAATGCTTCCCAGATAAGGCCAAGTTAAAGGAGTTCATCATCATCAAGCCATTAATATATGAAATGGTAAAGGGACTTATCTTTAAGTCCCTTCAGTAAGAAATTGAAGAAGATCAAAAACTATGAACAGTAAAATGACAACAAAATGACAACTATCAACAACTGAACCTAAAACACAAAAGAAAAACAATGAAAACAAAAACTGTGCAAACAAGTAGAATGGGAATAGAATCACAGGAATGGAGATCACATGGAGGGTTTTCAGTGCAGAGGGGAAGGGGAGGGATGAGGGGAAAGGAATAAGAAGGATAATTGGTAGGCATAAAATAGATGGGAAGAGGTAAGAATGGTATAGAAAACAGAGAATTCAAAGAACTTAAACATACAACCCATGGACATGAACTAAGGGGGAAGGAATGCTGGAGGGTTTGGGGGTGCAGGGCGGAGGGAGAATACAGTGGGGGGATTGGGAAAACTGTAATAGCATAATCAATAAAATATACTTAAAAATAATCAGTACTTCATAAAAAGCACATATAAAAGGGATATTCACCAAGAAGATATAACAAATATATATGCACCAAATATCAGAGCCCCAAAATATATGAGGCAAACATTGGCAGAATTGAAGGGAGAAATAGACAGCTTTATAATAATAGTTTGAGACTTCAATATACCACTTTCATTAAGAGATACAACAGACAGAAGATGAGGAACAAAAGAATGTAAACACCTCCATAAACTAATGATACCTAACAGACATATAAACAATACTGCACCAAACAATAACAGAATATACATTCTTCTCAAGGGCATTCGGAACATTCTCTAAGATAGACCTCAAAAGAAGTTTGGCCACAAAACAAGTCTTAATATGCTTAAAAATATTAAAATTCTACAAAAGATCTTATCTGGAATTAAAGGAGTAAAGCTAGAAATCAATAACAGAAGGAACACTGAAAATTCACAAGTATGTGAAAATTAAACAACCTATGGATTGTTTCTTACAAGAAGAAATCACAAGGGAAATTAGAAAATACCTTGAGACAAATGAAAATAAAAACACAGCATATCAAAACTTAAGGTTTATAGCCCTGGCTGGTGTGGTTCAGTGGATTGAGCACTGGCCTGTGGACCTAAGGGTTACTGGTTTGATTCCCAGTCAAGGCACATTTCTGGGCTTCAGGCTGGGTCACCAGTTGGGGGTGCATGAGAGGCAACCAATCGATGTTTGATGTTTCTCTTGCACACTGATGTTCCCCCCATCTCCCTCTTTTCCCCTCTTTCTAAAACTTAATCAATAAAATATTTTTTTTAATTTTAAAAACTTAAGGGATGTGGTGAAAGCAGTGCTGGAAGGGGAATTTATAGCTGTAAATGTGCATAATAAAATAGAAGATCTTGTATCAATAACCTAAAGTTACACCTCAAGAAATTAGAAAAAGAGCAAACTAAACCCCAAGTGGCAAGAGCAAGGAAGGACATAATACAGACTAGAGTGCAGGTAAATGAAATAAGAGGAAGTAAAATTATCTGTTTGTAGATGACATGATCTTATATATAGAAAATCCCAAAGTCAAAAAAAAAAAAAAACAAACCTGTTAGAACTAATATATTCACAGGAAAATTGCAACATACAAAATCAGCAACACAAAAATCAGCTGCATTTCTATACGTTAACAATGAACAATTAAAAAAAGAAAAACACAATCCCATTTACAGTACCATCAAAAAGAATAAAATACTAAGGAATAAGTTTAACCAACGAGGTGAAAGACTTGTACACTGAAAACTACAAAAAAGAAATTGTTAAAAGAAATAAAATAAGACACAAATAAGTTGAAAGATATCCCATGTTCATGGATTGGAAGACTTAATGTTGGGAGGATGACATATTACCCAAAGTGATCTGCAAATTCAATATAATCCCTATCCAAAACCTAATGATGATTTCTCCAGAAACAGAAAAAGCCATCCTAAAATTCTTATATCAAGGAACATTCATAGCAAAAACAATCCTGAAAAGAACAAAGTTGGAGCATTCACATTTCCTAATTTCAAAACTTAATACAAAGCTACAGGGGTAAAAACAGTGTAGTCATAGCATAAGGACAGACATATAGACCAATGGCCCAGGATAAAGTTCAGAATAAACAGTATTTTGAGTGGAAAAAAAAACAGAGTGAAAAGACAACCCACAGAATAAGAGAATATTTGCACAACACATATCTGATAAGGGAATATATTCAGAATATATAAAGAACTCCTACAACTCAACAACAAAAAACCCACAAACAATTCAACTAAAAAATGGGCAAAGTACCTGAATAGGCATTTCTCCAATGATATACAAATGGCTACAAAACACATGAAAAGATGCTCAATATCATTAGTCACTAAGGAGATGTCAATCAAACCACAATGAGATATCACTTCATACTCATTAGGGTGATTGTGTGTGTGTGTGTGTGTGTGTGTGTGTGTGTGTATGTATATTACTACTAATGTGATTATTATATTGATGGATTTTCATACGTTGAAACATCCTTGCAGTCTAGAAATAAATCTTTTAATGTGCTGCTGAATTCATTTTGCTAGTAATATACAGGGTCCAATAGAAGTAAGGCCTGCTTGGGTAGGGTAATAATACAGATGTAATAATTTATAGTTTTAATTTGAACATTTCACTTAAAATGTCATATGGCATGCTTGAGTGTGATATTGTTATATTACAGAATTACATGCTTATGATTTTGTAATAAAAGGTTTTGTAATAAAAAGGGGCATTATTTGTGCCAGACTATCTATCTATATATAGACATACACACACATATACACATACACATATATAAAATATTGGAAATATATATATATATGAAGAATGATGATGTAAAAATTGGAACTCTCATGCATTGTGGGTGGGCATGTAAAATGGTGCAGCCACTCAAAAAGCTAAACACAGAGTCATCGTAGGATAGTACAATTCCACTTCTAGGTACATATCAAAAAGAATTGAAAGCAGGAACTAAAACAGATACTTGCACATCAATGTTCAGAGGAGCATTATTCACAACAGCCAAAAGGTGGAAACAATGATGGATGAATGAGTAAACCAAATGTGGTGTATAAAACAAGGGAATGTTATTCAGCCTTAAAAAGAAATTCTGACACATGCTATAAACATAGATGGACACTGAAAACAGTATGCTAAGTTTAAATCAGTCAGAAACAAAAGGACAAATATTGTATGATTCCACTTATATGATATATCCAGAACAGGCAAATTCTAGAAACAGAAAGTAGAACGACGATTATCAGGAGCTGGGGGGATGAAAGAAAGGAGAATTACTGTTTAATGGAGATAGGGTTTCTGTTTGGGATGACAAAAAAAGTTCTGGAAATGGATAGTGGTGATGGTTTCACAACATTGTAAATGTATTTAATGCCACTGAAATAGTTAAAATGGTAACACACACACAAAAGGTTAGTGAATAAACTGTAGTTGATGTATATGATAAAATATGATTCAGTGATAAAGACCTATGAAGTCACAAGACATGGAGGAAATTTAAATGCCTCTTTATTTTTTAATGTATTGATTTTAGACAGAGACACACATCAATTTTTTGTCCCACTTATTTGTGTATTCATTGGTTGATTCTTGTATGTGCTCTGACCAGATTCACAAACTTGATGTATTGGGACAACACTTTAACCAACTGAACTACCTGGCCAGGGCTTAAATGCATATTTCTAAAATTGAAAGATGCTAATCTGAAAAGGCTACATACTGCATGATCCAACAGAAAATGCAAAACTCTGAAGGCAGTAAAAAGATCAGTGGTTGTCAAGGGTTAGGGAGGAGAGAGGGTTGAATAGATGGAACAAAGAATTTTTAGGACAGTGAAACTACACTGTATGACACCATCATGGTGAATACAGGATATTATGCATTTTTCAAAACTCAAAGAATGTACAACACAAGGATTGAATGTAAACCATACTGTAACCTAGAGTTAGTACTAACTATCAAATTGGTTTATCAAGTGCAACAAATGCACCACACTGATGCAAGATGTCAACAATACTGAAAACTGAAGCAGTTATTCGAAGCAGTCCTAAATAATTTTAGGACTGTATAAATGTAGCTGCTCCTTAACTGTTAAGGAGTTGCAATTACAGTCGGCCCTTTGAATTCAACCATGAGGCTGATGTGGCCACACGTGAAAATGAGTTTGACACCCCTGTGATTTAAGTAATATGAGGCTCCAGGTTATGCTGCACCCAGTGCTTCCTGTGGTCACTATAATCTGTGCATGTAAACCACACCAGGCGGCCACTGGGAAGCACAAACGGGCACAGGAAAAAAAAAGAAATGCTTTGGTCCCAGGTCCTGATAAGCAGTCCCAGATAGTTTTTACAGGATAAAGGAAGAAAAATACTCTGGTACAAAATCCAGAACTTTGCCAGTTCCCTTTGTTAAGCCCTACCTCCCTCACCTTTGTGCCCAGCTGGCACCAGACAATAGACTCCTCAACCTGTTACCCATGCCTGCACTAGTGGCCTTGTGGGAACCAGCCCCACCTGGCCTCACCTCACCCACCAGGCCCCTAAGCCTTCCTACATGGCAGCCTCCAACTGCACCACATTGCCCAGGACCCCGGCCCCAGGCAAAGAGCACTGTCTCTGTGGTCTCCATCTGGCTAACTCACATTCAGCTCCCTGTCCTCCCCCCAGGGGATTTCCTAGTTCCCCTGGCCCTTGCCCCCACTGCAGTTCAGATGCTTGGGCCTTAACCTCCCCTCCTGAATGGAATCTCCCAAAATTCCTTCCGGTCTCAGAGGTTGACCTGGCCTTGGGCATGGAAGAGCTGGGATTGCTTACTCTCCAGCACACAAGGCAGGGACTGGTTCTATAGCAACAGTAACAGCTACAATAACATTTGGCCAGTACCTGCCCTGTGCAGACACAGCAAGTCCCACACAATCACTCCACAACCCATCACAGAGACCCCAGAGCCGGCATCAGGCAGGCTCCTGTCAGTGACAGGGGCAATGAGCCCTGGATGACAGGCCTACAGCCTGGCAGAGCTGCCCATTTGATCCTCCGGGGCAGTGCCCTCTGGGCCTCAGTTCCCCATCCCAAAATGAAGGGTTGTGCAGGGAGAGGTCTCTAGAAGTCCAGCATACAAAGATGGAAGGGAGAGAAGAGATCAGGGAACCTGGTACAGACCACAAGTCTAGTCTCAGCTCTGCCAATGACCACCAGAGGGGCTTGGCACCTGGTACCTTCCCCATCTGAGCTTTTGTTTCCTTACCCACACTTAGATATGACATTCCATATGTCCCTACATGGTACTGCTGGATGGGAGGTGCCCACTGCAGGGCCAAAAGCATATTAGGGGCTCAGAAATGACAGCCACAAATAAAAAGGGTTCAGAGGAATGAGAGGGGAGCAGGTGGCAGCTGGGGTCTCTTCTGGCCTAGTTTGGGACACTGGTGTCCTGGAAGTCACCAGGTTCCAGCCCATGAAATCCTATGTGTGCAGGATCCATTCTGAGACTCCAGGGAGTTCTGGAGAAAAAAGGACAGATTTCTGGGGCCTCTCTGACTCCCTGGTGCACCCCTAACTGCCTTCTGTCCTCTAAGGCAGAAGAGTGGGTCCCTTAGGGATGAAGTGTAGCTTCTGGGAGCCCTAGCCTTCCCTGACCTTTCTGCCATGGGTCCATCACTGGTCCCATCACCCTTGGGACTTCTCCAGCAGGGAAAGGTCCACAAAGCAGTGTGGCCCTACTTGGTTGGGGTCAGGAGGGAGGTGAAAACCCCAGTTCAGAGAGGCACTAGGGGGACTGCTAAACTGGAAAAAGAGTTGGAGTGGCTGAGGCAGCCCACCGTGGAGCACAAAGCCTTCGGGGGCTCAATCTGTGTCCCCAATTTCTCTGGGCCTGTCCCTGAGCTAGGAGTGCAACCCAGAGAGTCTCCGAGGTTGCACACACAATCCAAGAATGCAGCGCCTGTCTGGCCTCCTGGTCAGGTGGCTGTTGAGGATGGAGTGTCTGTTTCTCCTACTGAAGGCACATTAGGACCACAGTAATTCTGGCACCGTTTTTATGTTCGCCTCCCACTCTGTCAGTCGTTACACTCACCCGAGCCCCTCGCTGCGCACAGACGCACATCTGCCTTTGCTCCCCAGAGCCCTCCAGGGCCTGACCACACCCCCATTTCGCCCTAGTCCCACCGACGGAGGAGGCGGACAAGAACGCGCGGGTTACGGACAAGGTCACAGGGCCAACGCAGCCAGGAGCAGCACCCTGGGAGACGACAAGGCAGCTCTGGGGACCGCCGGGGTCTCCTGCCCTTCCCGGAACTGCAGGCACAACCGCAGCTAGGCCCACGCTCACCTGTCATGGCGACAGCACGGCGTGAATCCAACTGTTACAAGCCTGACGCCCACCTGCCGCCACCGCCCGTCCCTAGGTCGGCCTTCCTCTGTCCGACCCTCGATAACCTCCGCCCACCCGCTCCGCCGGACTTGCCCCTCCCAGTCACTTCCACAACCCTAACCCAGCCTTCGCTGTTGCACCACATTCCTGTTAGGACACTCCCTCAGCGCCTCTAAACCCTGCCCCCTACCGAGCCTTGCCTTCAGCTACTGGGTCTCCAGTAGCCCTTAGCTCCGCCCCCAACTGAACAACCGCCCTGCAGTCTGGGGCTGAGAGCGTTACTCTTCCCCCTAGGCCCCGCCCCCGACGTCGGTGACGTGGCAACTAGAGCCCTGAAACCCGCCCTCACTGAGCCCCTCCCTCGCTGACGTCAGCTACGTCCTCACCTTTCACTGAACCCCGCCCTCGCCAGCTAAGAAAGCTGAGGAAACCTGGTGCCAGGATCCAGCGCGCCTAGGGCATGGTGTCCTTAAAAGCCCTTAGCCCCTCCGCTCACTCTAGGCCCGCCCTCAGCTCCTAGGCAATCTTTGCTAGAGCAGTCGTGCGACTTCCTGGCTCTGCCCTGCCCTCTTACTGACTCGGTCTGGGTGTTGGTCCCTTCCTGGGCCCCACCCAGCCTGGTTAGGGTCTAGCGTGCTACAAGCTGCCTGGCACAATCACCCGCCCGCCCCGCTCCCGCGCCACCATGCCCTACCCCCGGAATGAGAAAACTGGGTCTCTGAGAGAGGAAGTAATTTGCCTAAGGTCATGCAGAAAGTCAGGTCGTTGTGGGGTACAGAGCCAAGCCTGGAGCAAAAGGTGGTGAGGGTCCACTACTCTTCAGCCAAAGATTAGAATCAGCCAAAAAAGGCCCTGCATGCACAATGATGCTCACCAATCCAGAGAAGGAGTTGGACTCCATGGTGTAACTTGGGTGGCCACACTCCTCTCTGGGGCCCTGTATGCAAAAGAGGGGCATGAGCCTGTCAGTGTGACCCTGACTAGGAGGTCATTTAAGTTGCCTAAACCTCAGTTTTCCAATCTCTAAAATGAGTGGCCTTGGGTCCACTCCGCTTTCTGTCACAAGTTTGGGCTTCTGGCTCTGGCGCCTGTAGCATCCAGCAAACGAGAGAACAAATATCGGAGACTTTCAGGGTATCAAAGATGTTACTTTATTGGCCAAGTTTAACCTGCACAGGGGCGAACTCTCAAAGTGTCCAGAGACACGGTGCCCACAAGGAGCTGTAAACGAGAGCCGCGCCAAGTGCTTACAACTACGTTCTTATATATGGGCGGGCAAGCAAGTGTTATACAGAAGCAGACGTGGCAGTTAGTAATTCGCTTACAAAGACCACGCGAGGGAATTTCAAACCAAGCATTCTTGCATAAGGCGGGAAGGCAGGATGTTTGTTCATTAACCTAGTAATCTCCTGGCTCTAGCTAGCTAGGTTCTTATTTTCTGATTAAAACTACAAAGCATTGCTTATCTAGCCTACCCAGGAGAGAGCATCTGCTAGACACAGGATGTTTGCTTAACTGTACTCTGGCTCTTTTATCATTTCTTTTTAGCTACAATGTGGTTCTTGTCTATTAAGATTAAATTTAGTTCTTAATTTCCTTGTTCCCAACAGCGCCTATCCCAGGAAGCCCTCAGCCCCATGATATGTGAATGTGCAGGGCTTCCACCACAAAATGGAGAGCTGTGGTGAAAAGGGAAAGCAGTGCTTTCACAGCGGCCATTGTGGACAGGGTTTTGGTTTAATACCTGGTTCCTTCTCTGCTTGTACTGGCTGTTCCCCCATTAGCATGCTCAAATTTGAGATGCTGGTGCTGGACCTGCCGTCAGGGCCCAAGCTCAGTACTCACTTCTTGGATAGCACAAGTGCTGCTCAGGTCCCCAAGTCAATGCAGTCCACATCCCAAGTCTGTGCTTTGGTTGTCCCCTGTAAAACAGGGCTGGGACCAATGATCAAAGTTTGTGCAGTTGAGGCATCTAGAGAATGGGTGCAGTTGTCTCCTGGAAATTCCAAACCCCTTGGGCTGAGTGGTGGTGAGAGACACCTCCTCCCCAAATACTGAGGGTGCACCTGGCTTCACTTCCCTGAAAGGCCCACGCTGAGCCTTTCCTCTTGGGAAGTCTGCTTCCCAGGTGCCTCTGGGTAGGGCCTCTTGAGCATAGTAGAACTTAGCCTGAACCCCATTACCTTACATTCTTCACCTTGTGTCACAGCTCCTAACATTTACCTCTCAGTTCATTTCATCCTCTAGAAGTAATGTCAGTGCCATAATGGCGGGATCTGGATGGACAAGACATAGTAGGGCAGGGGTTTCCAATCTTTCGGTGTCTCTGAGCCACACATTAAACACACAAACACTAACAAAAACTGATGACCAGAAAAAAGGTCCATGCATAATTTTCATGATATCTGACATCACAGATAATCAAAAAAGTTCTCACATAATAACCCAAATTATGCAGCATCCCTTTCAATAATCTTTTAAAATCATTGAGCAGGTCCCAAGTTTGTGATCACTAATACAGAAAATGTACATATCTAAGTAATAAAACTTAGTAATAAAGTTAAGTAATGTTTTAAGTAAATTTATGATTTTGTGTGGGGCCACATTCATAGCCATCATGGGCCATGGCATGGGTTAGACACCCCTGCAATAGGAACAGCAAGGGGACTGGGAGTGAGGGCTCCCAGCCCCATTCAGATCAAGGAGCCCACACCCCTTCCTAGATGGCCATCATTCCAACCTTCACAGCTTCTGCTACAGGATGGAAGGTGAAACAGGTGTAGAGAGGTGGAGTTCCTCACAGGACTGGACCTCTGTTGGGAACCACCCTGCCTGGTATCAGAAGCCGTAACCCCGCCAAGGCTAAGGCTGAGGGAATGACCTTGGACCTGGACTGTAAGCCAGCAAGGAGACAAAAGCTTATCTCCCTAGCAGGAGCACCACTTCTGCTCCTTTTACTTCACCCTGCCTGGCCCCCAATGCTTGGTCAGTTAGCCAATGATGGGTAAGATTCCCCAAGGCGGGGGACGATCTAAGACAGGCACAATCACGTGGGAGGCCCCCAAGGAAGGACTTTGGGGTCTACAGCAAAAGGGGGTGATAGACCCTCGCCCCTTGGCTTTGAAAAAACTTGAGTCTTCATTGTCTTTGAGAAAATCTCCTAATCTCTTGGTTGCCTTAGTTCCCTTGCTCCACCTAATCCTGAAACAATGACAGAGGGTGGTGCAGCCCTGTGCTGGAAAGGGCGGGTTCCCTGGGTGATCAGGCCTAAGAAAGAATATGTAAAATCCTGTGAAACCTGCTTTGTTTAGAATGCTCTCAATTGAATGATAAGGGTCCAAGGAAGAAGTAAGTTTGTTCCTTAAAGTTTTTTACAGCTCTTTAGCTATCTGACCCTGACTCAAAATAGGTCCTCAGAGTTCCTTGTTATTTGATCCTTACTTCCCAGCAATGAGTAATGAGCTTTACCTGAATTCCTGTGTAAATGAACCCAATAAAAGCCATTGAGAAAAAGGGTCTTGGTCCTTCTCCTTCGAGAGATCAGCCACCTTTCCTCCCCAAGAAGATCATGTCTTGGTAGACTTATTCTCATCCATGGCAGATGGGGGGCTCTGCAGGCAAAGCTCCCCCACAGACCTCCAGGTGCAGGATTCACTCCAAGGGCCCCAGAGCTCACTGACAGAGCCCAGTGCCCCTCAGATGGGCACTCAAAGCCAGCAGTGGCGGAAGCCTGTGGCACTGGCTAGGCTACCAGCCTGGATCCCTACCCTAGGCGGCAGGTAGGTACACACAGCACCCCCAGGGTCAAAGGGTGGTCCCCGGTCACTTCTCTCCTTGGCTGAGGGGCACAAAACACAGAGACCTCCCCTCTTGTTACAGAACACAACAAGGGGGGCCTGGGACAATATGCTATTATTGAAAGAAGGCCCCGGGTCCATTATGTCCGCCGCCAGAGGAAAGACGTCTCTCAATGCCAGAGATTCGTGAAAAGGAAAGGAAATGTTTATTTAATGCTATACTAACTTAAAGTAGTGACCTAATAATGTCTTCATCAAAAATCCTAAAGTCCCTTAAAACACCCACAAACAGACACAGTCCTTCCTTCCCCCTTTTCCCAGTCCAGAGTACCGTATCTCAGGAAAGGAAATAGAAGTCCATGGCTCAGGCAGTCCTCTGGTTCTTCTCAGTTAATACTCCATCTTGACTGGGAGACCTCCCTGGGTTCCCGGCACCCTCGGCTGAGTCGCCGGGATCTCTTCTAAAACCAGGTGGTGGTTCCCCCTTCTAAAGCTGCGGGGGTCCCCACTCTGTCCAGGCCTCGTGGTTCTCCCTCTCAGGGCTGCGGGAAGGGAGAGTCCTGACTCTGCCAAAGCCGCGTGGTTCTCTTTCCTAAAGCAGCATGGTTCTCTCTGGGATGCAGGAGTCTCCACTCCGTCAAAGCCGCGTGGTTTTTTTCTCTCCATGGCCGCCAAGTCCCGGTTTTTAAATCCCCGCGGCCAATCTTCCTCTGCAGCCTCATTTCCGACTCCTCCCACACTCGGCTTCACATGCCAGAACTCGTATCCTTCCAGCTTTACTGGGCTGCCATCTTGAGTCTGGGCAGGCGTGGACCCATGTCCAGGAGCCAATCTTCTCCGAGCTCCCATGCAGGCGCTGTAGCTTGGGGGGGACGGGGGGGGGGGTGGGGGGGGGAATCTGCCCCCAGTCACGTGTTGGTGGGGAAGTTACTTCCATTCCCCTGGCTCAGAGATGATCACAGCTATTTAACATATCCATACAACCAGCCAAAGGCTATAGATATGTTAAATGACCATGCCAGAGGGTAGCTGCAAGGCTGTTGCTATGCAAAACAGATCTCAATGGCCCTGCTCCATTTGTCACTTCCCCCAACCCACACCCTGGGTAGGTGGATGGAGACATCTTAAAATCTCCTGGACACCTTAAGTTCTGGACCCCATTTCAAATGTCCATTTGGGGTCCCCCCTCTTGGCTGCACCCTGTAACACTCTCACTTGCTTCCCTGCCACAGAAGTGAGTGCTTGGGTCTGGAGGCCCAGCCGTTCACAGTGGGAGTGCAGGGGATCTTGGAAACCTTCACTTGCTTCACTAGCACTGTGGGTCTTACACATGGAAAGGACTGGATCTCCCCTTGCACTGTGTAAACAAGTTGCTC